CACTGGCCAGTTTTCGCGGTACCGAGCCTTTTCCCTCAAAGCGCTGCTTTCTCATCTCCTGATACAATCTTTCGACGGTCGTATTGGGCTTAATCCCTCCTCGAGGGTAGATACCAGTCGTCGATCATCATCGACCACTATGTCGATGAGATAAGTTAGGAACTCGGCCCACTGCAGCTTTTTCTTTCTGATTTCGTCGACGACATCCTTCACTTCCGTGCGCTGTCTGATCGCTGTGTTGGAGATGTGGTCGCAATGAGAGATTCGTAACATTTTCTTTCCATGATTCTCTCAGTGACAGACAGCTGAAGGTTTACGGCCTTAGTGAGTGACCACGTCGTAGAGCCATACAACATTATCTGCAGGACGATAGAATTGAAGAGACTGACGTGGCTTTATTTTCTGATGTTGCCAATGAGGGCGTCCGGGATGGAATGAAACATGCGCCAAAAGACCCTATTTACCCGTTGGATCTCTTCCGCCTGACCATGCAGCATGTTGATCGCTTGGCTCAGATAAATATGTTTATCTCGATGTCTTACATAAAGAGTAAAATTTGGTAGCAAGTTCAGCAACGGTACAGAAATATTTCAGACATGCATACTTATATCTTTTGATCTGATGTAGCCGAATCGTTATGACATGCTATCGATTTTGGAATAAATCTTCTAAGATGAACGAAAAATCAACGGAAACAAAACATCTGACCCAGAATTACGTAATGAGTGAAATACCAACAACAGGAATAGATTCTAATATTCTAATAATTCGAATGTTCATGCCGTTTGATGATGAGAGATTCGTTTAAATACGTATGCATCACCAGCATTCCGTTGTTGCTAGAAATATCTTTTGTTACGAGTATGTCTGCATTCATTTTGTGGCTTCCGGAATTTGAATTGTAAATATTGTGATGATTTGCAATGAGAGTAGCGTAGCACGAAACATGTGTTCCTGAATTATGAAGTTCATTCAGTTTTGTTCACAATGCATCAAGATGGTTGTTGAATTTTGGGCTCTAATGTCCTTTGAAAATTTAGCATTTAAATAGGCGCTACTTTACAGTTGTTACACTTGCTGTACAGAAATCGACAGTCTGTAAATATGTTTGCGACCGTTGCTGAGAGTTGGCAGCAATTACGTTTGGAGCACATATTAAAGCGATGTACGCAGAAATGCGGAAATTTTCTCTCTGGGATTGTTCTATAATCACAGGCTCAGAAACTCAGAGCGTCGGTAATTCAGAAGTGCAGTTCTTCTTTTGACAATAAATCAAAAATTTTTAGTAGGTAGGCGCTATGATTACAACATCGGCCGAATTGATTGAGGACAGCAATTCAATATTTATAATGAAAAAGATCATGATGAAATTTTCAAAATTTACCCTTGAGATGCATGAATACTCTAAGCTTAAGGGTTGATAATTACTTGAGTTTTTAGGCGTTCCTTTGACAACCTCAGAGTCATGGCCATGCTTTACGAGAAGCCGCCACCGCCATACTACAGGATTTATCCGGTTATTCCAAATTACAAGAATGCGTGACAGCGACAGTAAATTGATTGATTCTGACGAGATTGAAACGTGCGTCGTTTGTTGGTGCTCAGCTGTAATCCAAAGCAACATTCGCCTTTCCTGCCAGCGAAAATTAATTAGATGATTGACTCATTGCAAATTTTCTGTACGTCCTGAACAGAAGAATATAATATGAACAATATTTTCATGGCCATCTAAATTTTGACAGACATTCTTCAAAGCTGTCAAAAGACTCCTTCTAAATTTCAAGCGGATAACTTTCATGCATCATGTGCAGTTAAACATACAGATTAGCCCTAGGGCAACTTCTTAATATTAAGGCGTTTTGACCCATTCAATATGTTTCGACTGACCAAAAAACGTACTGCATTTTGGATTGAATTATAAAGAAAAAGATATTTACTGAAAAGCCGTGAAGGTTTCTGTAGTTCTCTAAACCACTGATACTGATCATATCTGAATTCAGTTTCAGATATACTTGGCTTTTCTGATATGTGCTAAGTTCAGCATGGAAGGGTTTCGATTTAAATGATATATGAAGATATTTGAGGAAGTAAAAACTCCTAAATGATAATGAATAGAATTGTGGAACTTGTGGCGAATTACTTGTTTCGCGACAAGACTTCAATTTATAAAAGAATTTTAAGGTTTTGAACCATTCTTCCAGAGAAGAGGTTATTGCTCCATATGATAACATAAGCATGATGTTATCCCTCGCATGGTGACCGGTTTAATTCCCTCCGGCTAAGTGAGATGGTGAACTACTACACTGGTCTGTCAAAAGCTTATTCAGTGCCTCTCTTTGGGAAGGATATGGAGCACGAAGGTTATAATTTCGAAACTCGTCGAAAATGCGTTACGAACGACAGAATACTGGGGTGGTAAGGGGAGACTTCCGCGTCAGATTGCCAAAAACTGGAATTACTACCCGATGATGGTCAGGACAAGATTGTCAAACGGCAACAGGATATCATCAAGACCTTCGTGGCTAGTGACGTCACCATAACTCTGCCTTCAGGCGCGTTAGTCGGCATTTACATCACCGAAGCGGAGAAGATCAAAGCAGATGTTCTCAGCATGTGCGTTGTTACGCTGAAACAACGGTAATTAAATGTTCCTTGGGAAAGCTGAAGAAAACCATGTTTAGTCAGGCGATGTATGATCGACAGGACAAAAGAGGGCTGTGCCACTGTTAGTCATCTGCGACCTGATG